TCTCTTGCGTTTACGAAGGTTTTCTGCCCTACTCTACCGACCACTGCTAGAGGTGTAGTAGCGTATGGCATAAAGTTCCTCGCGGTAATACGCATGGAGAAATGTGTCATCACTCTCCGAGTTTTCGAAGGGGCACTCTACCGTAATGTGAAGGCGGTATATGTGCCCGCGAGACTTCTTTTGGCAGTGTTTGAGCCAGGATTGTATTAAAATGTATATGCGGCTAGGACAATAAAAACCTATTTGAAACAGCCTCCATAAATGGAGAGAGAGAGAATAAACTTTATTGGGTTCCAGCATGCGGGATTCCCTCCGGCCGCGCAGGGCGTGGGGTTCACCCTATCTCACGTTACACTAGAAGTCCTAATGTCACGCGGGCCTAGACCTCAAGGCCTTCGTGCCCATGTTACATGAATTAACAAAGTCCATAAATGGACTTTGTTAATTCATGTAAGGCTTCAAAATAAAAGTTCACTTACCTGCATGGTAGAAGCAGACATGAAAAAAATAAGACACAGTAAACTGTTTCGGAGTGAATGCTGAGCCGGCTGTACTTTCTTGCATTTCTTATAACTATGTCAAAAGTGGGAGTTGTCAAAGTTAAGCGGAGCTTTTTTTGCACAATGGAAAAAATATAGGTGATGAGTTTTTACATTACAAAGTTGGCCATTTTGATACTAGAAGTGCGTCGAAGCCAGGTCAGTCTCTGAAGTGTGGGGGTTTGTCATAAATAGTATCAATCGGGATGGATGGATCCCTGTATTTATGTGCATAAATGTAAACAACAGTTTGACAACCTCATCTGGTCGGGAACGCTTATGTTCGAAGGCAAATGGAATGCACCAGCTAAGTGCCCTTCCTTCTGCCTTTGCTCACTATTTGACACATCTATTTTTGCACATGGTACTTAAATCACCACACCTTCTGTCACTTTATTGTGAACAAGGCCCCTTTATACGAGCTGAAATAATATTTATTTTAAGGTCCTTTTTGTGTTTGGTCGGTATATGCCTTTAACCTTTGACCATTTTATGTATACAACGGCACTGCAACTTCATTTTTTCTTCTAAGCTATAGTAAACTTTGGTGTAGACCAAGATCAGACTCAACGACGGACATGGCTGTCAGTATGAATTCGTGAATTGGTCGAAGGACCAGACAGTGACTAATTCAGCACAACCAATTTCCTGTTGAAATGGTTGAGATTAATGATGCACTACAGTTGAATGGAATGAAAAAACTTTATTTGGTGCACTGCAGTCTTTGTCTGAATCAAACAGGGCAGAATCGGCAAGAGTAGCCATCCTTGTAAAAATACACCAGGGTTTACATGGGAAGCTTTGCTTTGAAATTTCATGAATCAAGGAACATCGCTAATATAATCACGGGGAAAAATACAGGGGCAGTTATGTATAAGTTGGCGTCAACGCTGCACGGCTAGGTCTGTGCAACAGATTGGTGATGACAGCGCTGAAGGAGTTTATGAGGTGACACATTGCATGCAAAAAGAAAAAAGTCTCGCAAGCATTGGCTGGTAACAAGCCGGCTGAGACTCATTGAATACAAAGCTACTAATGAGTGGTTTTATTAAAGTGGCAAATGGCTTGAATATGCAGTTGTGGACTGGGCTGCTTGTTGCTGCCATGTAGGCATCGGAGAAATGTGTACATGATACAGTTTCATTAGCACTGTAATACTAATATTTGTTGATGTCGTGGGTCTGTTGCAGGGCAATTTTATTAGTCACTTCTTTTTTTATTTAAAGGGCATTTGATTGGTGAGATTGCACTTCATGCTATACCTAATAAGCTTGAGATATTTGTTGTGGTATAATGTCTACCATAAAATCTTGAGCAAGACCCCCCCCCCCCCCCTAAACGTAAATCAAACAATAGTTGCTTGGTCGCACATCAGGCTCAAAATTCAATATGACATAGGAAAGGCCTCTAAGAATAAAGAATGCACACGTAAGCTTCGAATCAAGTGCTTCGTTGAATATGCATGCATTTATGCTGTTTGCACTAATTCTCGTTGGTCAAATGAAGCAGTGAAAATGGTAGAAAGAGACATGTTTAAAGTCAACAGAAAAATGAAGGTGGCTAATTTCTTTGGATTTCATGGTAATGCCCATAAGTTGCTGTTAAAGTACTGCAATCTTTTGAATTGTGAAATTTTTTATTTGGAAAGTTTATTGCCCATAAATTGAGACATTCATTATGTTTAAGAGATGACCATGTTAGTTTGGAAGTCTGCTGTTTCTTTTGGATGTATGGCTGATTCACAATTTTTAGGGTGTGATTGTGCCTATAATTGTCTTGATGTCTTGCACATTGCTTTGGTCACTTTTATAAAATATTGTGTATTTTCTTTTTCTGCAGAATGTTGATTCAAGTTCATGTTTATTGGAAAGGCAAATTGGCAACCACACCTTTGTAGCACAGAGCTATAACAAAATTTATCTATCGATTTCTCTAAAACAAATCATCCTAGTTGCCTGAAAATTTCTCCTGGTCGGAGGTTCAAACTTGGGGCTAATTCCTTTCCAGGATGGTTCCTCTACTAATTCAGCTAGTCCTGTGTTCAATCTAGGGACCAGGACGAACTTTCCAGCTGAGAAGCTTTTTGAGAAATCTCAACTTTTCTGCCAGTTTGTGTGATCCTGCAAAACTGATTAGTACTATCCTGTATTCATGTGCTTGGAGTTGTTGATTGATTTGCCCTCGCACTTACAATATTCCTGGCTTACTGATCGAGCTTCCTGGCTCAATCAGTAAGGGCAAGCACCCCAAAGGCGCAGGTCCCCGGGTCAATTCTTTGGCTAGGACGGATCTTAGGGCAACTAATAAGCTTTTATCGGGAGAAATCTCTTTAGATTTCCTTGTGGCTTTGTGCTGCAAATAGGTGGTTGTCAGGGTTCCTTTCTGGTTCATTTCACAACCTTGCAGAATTCTGTAGAAAGCATGTGCAGTATTCATACATATTTTATAGGATGTGCCAGGAATGTATCTATTAATGCACAATATTTCTCGCTCCAGTGGTGTTGCAGATTCCTGATGTCTATGGCATGCCTGGATTATCAGTCGATACCAACTGAATGAGTCCTCAACACGGAACATGTTCACAGTTACGCACGAAAAATAATTATGCATAGTAGACCGTGATAGAGCACCTGTCAAGGATGGAGTACTTAGGGAAGCGTTGAATCAGAATCAGAAATGATTTTATTATGTCATAAGGAGCTTTACAAATTGTTAGTATAGAGATTCAGGGTTTTGCCTGCTCGGAACTCGAGCATGAATGTGACATTCAGTCAACCGTCAAGAAACGCTGTCACAAAAAAAAAAAAAAGACCGTCCTGTTCAGCCTAGTTTTGAGACTGCCTTTTTCTTGTACACTGCCCATCTTTGCCCTTACACCACAGAAGGCCCTAAGCCTGATTGATGTTCAGATGTGGGGGCACCCACTACCAAAAATTTAAGTATGACCAGAGTCCAGAGACACTTCTGAAAAAATTAAATTTAAATTATCACATGTGGGTCCACACTGGCACTGCAAGAAGACTTTCAGTGTGATAAATGCACATAATATATGATGGAGTATTTCTCCGAGAGGCACCTGTTGGAGCACATCGAATCGAACATTGTTTACGTTGAGTGAAGGCGCGTTTAACTGTTACGGGCAGGGTGGGGTTGAACTCTTCAGGTGTTATCGTAAGCCATTCTGCAGCAATTTACCTCTTCTACATCTTTGCATTCAATGACGATCATGTATAAGTGCAACATGTTTTATTAATGAACATTTTTTAATACATGTAGCTACTTAAGTAAATGTAGTGTTCTGTTACTATGCTCATTTTATTTGCGATAGCAAATATATGAACACTCTCAGCTGGATTTCGCTGCTGGCGTCATTGTTGCCATCACTCACCGTACACTCGAACCTCGATGTAATGAATCCGGATATAACAAAATAGAGGTTATAATGAAGTAAATGAAAAATAGTCTCACAATACATTTAATGTTAAGAATAAACCTTTATAATGAATGTTTTGATAAAGAGAACTTATTTTTATGTAAAATGCAAGTTTGTTATAATGCGGTTCCAGTGTACATATTTATATATATATGACAATATAAGGAAAAAAAAAAAAAACAAAGACTCCGGCGCACGGAATCAAACTTGGGTCCTCTCAATCGCAAGTGCGAAACGTTTACCACTGTGCCACCGAGGAGCACGTCCTTCACCGTTGAAACAGCAAGCTATTTATATATACCACTTACCACTGATCACCGGCATCTCTTTTCTATATTTCTCTCTCATATCTGCACTCGTTCTCTCACTATTCATCTTTCTTTCTCTTTTTTTCTTTATCTCTCGCTTTCTCTCTCATATATGTACTCATTCTCTCAACGCGTGCTTATCTCGCAGTGGGGGAGAATCGTATGTTTTAGGTTTTCACCGAAAGTGATTGCTTTCTAAATTCAGGGCACTCAAATGTCACTTTGCAGGCTGCAGTTTGTGAAACGAGCTCGCTTTTCATTGCAGCTGTGACACTTTTCGCGCTCATTTATACCTATGAGTATGGTTCATGAATGTCGTTAGTTCACTCTCATTCTGTGTGTGTTGTTTTCGTGCATCCTTTGTGCGTGAGCAGCGTGCTGGACATTTCAATCTGCTTGCAATTCTTTGTGTAACATTCCGAATTGTTGCTACAGCATTCATTACTTTTGCCCTTGCAGGAGAACTGTGACTTTTTTGTTATTCTATCAATTACATGTTTATAATGTTTTGTGTGCAGGTATTTGTCTCGATGTATTGTGGGTTGCATCAATACTTTTTTTTTCTAAAATTTTAATGCATAATTGTTCTTGTGTGACTTTCGAGCTGAAGTTGGTTTTGGTGGGATACCTTTTCCTGAATTGAGATCTCATGTTGCTGGGTGTAATTTTTTACTCTGTCGAAAGGAAAGTGTCTATTAAACACTCTTGCTTGCTCTGCAGATGAGTTCTTGATTCCTGACGACTCCGAGATGTGCGCATATTCAAAGTCGCTGCCAGCTGAGTGCAACCTGAGCACGGACGCGTTGCAAGATGCAGGGCGAGGTGAACACTTTTGCACCGAGGAGCAGCAAGAACCCAATGCGCCTGTCAAGAACGAAGGAGTAGCCTTGGAAGCGTCCATCGAGGACTTCATGCAGGTGGAGCTGAAGGAAGGGCCCGCCATGGAGTTGCCTGTCCAGAGACTCGAACTACCCAGCCACGAAGAAAACCCTCTCCTGCTTTGCAGTTTGTGCCCTTTTGCGACGCGTTACCCGAGTACGCTGAAGGATCACGAGGAATCCCACACGTGGAAGAAAGTGAAGTGCGACCTTTGCCCGAAGACATTTGCAACGCAGCGTATGCTGCAGAAGCACATGTGTAGTAGCCACACTGGCAAGAAACCCTTCAAGTGCGACCAGTGCCCGTACACGACGCTCATGGAGTACTATCTGGAGAGACACAAGATCGAACATCTCGATGTGAATGTCTTTTTGTGGAGTGAAGAAAGTGCATTCGACTATCGTAAGAGGCAGTGGGCATGCAAGCATTGGACACGAGAGAAAGTTAGGACAACACAAGTGCTAACAGAAAAAGCGTGAACTAGCAAAGAGAAAAAAAAAGCACGTACAAATTCTTGTCTGTGCACGCCCAGGCAAGAGCGACAACTGTTCATTGCTTTGGCAAGCGCAGATGTGCATTTCTGTCTACCTTCTTTTTCACTGCGGTGCACCGTATCAGTTAATAGTGTTTATCAGCATTTGTATTGCTCAGATTTCTGTGTTTCATCAAATGTTTGCCCACTGGTTGTATCTTGTATTTTACTATGAATACATCGTCTTGGCTTACTGTCATGTTATGTTCGACTATAGTGGTGGGGACTGGATTGAGAAAACTAGTTGCCCTGTGCAGTTCAGAAGGAATAACTGTTTTAAAGCATCACAACAATTAACAATCATGCAAAACTCTGACTTCTTGTATTAACATGCATTTTCTTCAGTTTAATAAAATGAGTTGCCCTAGTGTTTCGCTTCTTCCAGTCAGGCGTGTAAGTGCTGTACCAATTACGCCACGCCGCGCTAAACCGCTTCTGCCACGCCATTCTGCTCCAAAACTTATCATTTCGCCGATGCTTTTCCCACGCTGTGTTTGATGCCTTCATGTGCCGTCATTCGGGATCAAGCCAGCTCCCATTATTGTCACCGACGTGCACACAAAAACGGTGGCGTAGGCTCGAGACACTCGCAGTTACGCCGCAAAGACGAAGCAGTCAATGCTATAGCAGCGAACCGGAATGTTATACGAAGTGAGGCTATCAGTGAACTCTTTTTGACCCGATCTCGCTTAACTCTGAAAAACGCTGTGTGTGTGTGTTATTACTGGCGACTCCATGGAGCGAATCAATTCTCGCGCTTTCTAATTTCAAAGCGCAGTAAGCGGGCCCTTTGCTTATGTCTACCGAAATAGCATGCACCTTAGCGACAGCGGCCGGTCCCTTATGAGCGGAGTTCCAAGTTGCGACTCGAACGACACAGTCTCCGCCCACGCTTCTTCGCCCGACGATAGACAGGCGAGTCTTCTGCTCCCTGCCTGAGGGGCCATCAACAGCATGCCTTGCACATGGGTGACATTACCGTATGCGCCTTTAATGCAATGGAAATGGCCGGCTCATTTTATCTCTGCCTCGGCCGCAATCTTCACGAGCACAAGCTTGATAATTTGGATGCTTTCAGGAACTGCCACAAGCCTTATAGAACTAACGTGTGACATCTAAAGTTGTGGTCGTTGAAACACTGACAAGTTTAAACATTTTATTCAAGTTATGTGTTCGAAAATGCAGTAATTAAAGCCACCACCACCCTCGCGCCCTAGCGCGTTTTTAAAGTCAGTTTTCCCGCAATTCTGTAGTTTAGTGCAGCAAAGCATGTTGCAAATCGAAAGGGACATTGAGGTTGTGGGCAGGTGTTCAGTAGCTTGAAATTCTGGTTTTTTTTTTTCATTATCTTTCAGTGCAAGCACCCAACAGCCAGTATTTATTGTTGTTACCGATAATGCAGCATTGCTCTAAGTGGGTAATTTTACTTGTGAAAAACATACAAAAGTTGATGGTGCAGCATCTTCTCATTAGTATAACTTATATATTGATAAAACTGGTATTGCTATATGTGCTTGCTTTATCAGCATTCAATGTTTTTAAATATTTACTAAAAAATTGTTCACCTATCTGCGTGCTTTGCTGTAAATGTCGTCGAAAGGCCTTCTTTTCTGCATAGCATTGCATTTTCAGCGCAGCCTGAAGAATACCAGGGTCTTTAGAATGACGTGTTTATGTATTTTTCAGTAAAGGAGCGCACCACCTAGTACTAAAGTATTGATTTTGTGTCTCAGATATGCATAATGTTTGCTTTTACAGTGAAATTTAAACTGTTATGAGATCACAACTCTGGTCTTGCGCTGCCCTGTAGTTGTCTGCCGTCGCCAATGTCCGTAACCACATCGCATGAAATCAGAAAAAAAAAAAAAAAACTTGCAGTACCAATGACACAGCGAGGCTCGAATCCGGGTCCTCTCAGTGGCAGGCCAGTATTCTACCACTGAGCCCCGCCGTTGCTTGGGACTTGCTGGCAAACTTGCCTTAGTCAGGCTTGATGGGGGAAAAGCAATTGTGTTACTACGACTTATAAAGTGTTTTAAGACGGGGAAAAAACAAGCAGTCGTCACACAATGCGAATAGCGTAACGACTGGGTCGTCTTATGTTAGAACCAATTGCAAAACCTTGTTTTTGTAACTGTGGCGCATACCCACTTCAGGCATAATTCCTCATCGTCCTCAGCCACTGTATGAACAATTAGCACAAAATTTCTTGTAATTGTTAAACTGCGTAACAAAAATAGCATAGGCAATGCCAGCCTACTACCCTGAAATTTTTATTATTAATGCCGTAGTGGGCATCAGGCAAGTGTGTTTGCAGCAGTTATCCAATGAATGTTTAAAAAGGCTCTGAATGTCCGTTCTTCTAGCTTTCACTGTGATTGTGCGCCGCCTTCCGCGCAGGCCTGGCATTTGCAGCCACCAGTTCAACATGGCTGGGCGATCAGCAAGTGCTTAAACTTCGGCCGAGTGGCTGAATCGTGTGGCAGACAAATTTCTGCATTCAAGTATCCCAAGAAAGACTGACATCTTCAAAACCACTGGAACCTCGAGCTTCCCAGAAATAAATGCAGTTAAAATTACTGGTATCTGGACTCGTAAATATATTCCGAAACTAATTTGCATTGCTCCCAAACACTCCCTTTGATAAGCCTAGGCTGTTCTGAAACACGCTTTTTGATGCTTCACACCTGCTCCAAAAACAGCATTATTCCTGCTCCCTGAGGGGCTCCAGCTTCCACCCCTGCCTCCAGTTTTATATATTTGTTTTGAAAATGGCATTCCAGTTTTTCTTGTGCTTTTTTCCTGCTTTTTTCATTTTTTCAGAGGATGTGTACATTAGGTACATCCAAGAAATGTGTGTGCATTGTTCTGTTTCCTGCTAAATATTTTTAGAGGAAATGTTCTGCTGTTTTAGTTGGTGAATTTTCTTTCACTTTTATCAAGCATGTCGTTGCCTGTCTTGTTTATATTAATGATATTGTGATCATTGTGTACAGTGCCATTACTTTTTATCACGTTTTTTTTTTTGGCGATATCAGTACATCATTATGCATTGTATATGGAGCCCACGAAGTATCTGGGCTAATAAACATTTTTTTATGTAGAGCAAAGTGTGTACAAGTCCGTATCAACATGTCATAGTGGCTGTGGGCACTCCTCTGGTGGCACGTCAAAATCAAATCAAATCAAGTTTTATTATTTCATAATAAGATGTACAAAAAAGAATATACAGAAGGAGGTCCCGTAGTATACACTGAAATGGGACCTCCTATGAAATGTAAACACAAGTATTTGGTTAGCAACAACAGTGCGAAACTAAGAGAATACAAGGTTTAAAAAATGAATTGCAGATACATATAAACGACGATGCTCTCGTCAACTAAATGTAGTCGGAAATATAAATTATAAAATATGTTTATATACTTCTACATAAATAGCATGACAAAAAAAACGAGAGACTTAAAAGAGAATCACATGGAGAGGAAGGAATCGGTAAGGCAGAAGAGTGAGTTTTTGCAATTCATGGCAGAAAATTTTGCAGAAAAATTGGAGTTTTGCAGAAAAATTTTTGTAATTCATGGCAAAATTTATCTGGTTTTTTGAATTTTTATTAGAAATGGCACTGTGTTCTATAATGATATGGCCGCAAAGTGAAGTGTGTGTTTGCCATAATTAGTTCGTGCTTTGAGCAGAATGAAGTTATTATGCTGCACAAAACGAGTTGGGTTAGTATTTAGTAAAGACGTTCTCATATAACTGCTTTTCATTCGTGATGAACAAGCCTGCAGGCAACTGCACCCTGTTTACAATTAATTCTACGAAAATAGAGTTTTAGCACTTATATATTAAATCTTGACAGTTAGAAAAGCTGGAGTTGGGTCCGGTTGGCTGTACATAGTTGAAACTTGCAACGTGCTCTTTGGGCACGAAGGAAGACTCTCGAAAACCACAAGTAAAACACAACACGAGCACAAATGATGTGTTCTACCTGTGGTTTTCGTGTGTCTTTCTTTGTGTCCAAACAGCACGTAACACGTGTCCAATATTAGTTCTTGTTTATTCGAGCATGCACACACAATGGACATGATGCTTCGACACACAATGGAGTCTGAAAGCATAAATTTCAACAACATAAGCCTTCAATCAGAAAATACGAAATATAAATAATTAGTATCAATTGACGGAGAAGGGAAAGACATCCTAGTGAAAATAGGACCATAAAAACAGCAATGCTATAAGATTCTGCATCACCATTATCAGAAAGCATAACAAATTTATGCTGATCATGAGCCCGTTTTTCAATACAGTGAGTAATATTGCCTCTTTCGGTGTGAATGTGAGTGCTAGAACTTGATTTCTTTTTTGTTCCTATAGAGAAAATTTTGTTCACAGCAGTATTGATTTGAGAAAGGACTTTCTTCTGCAAAAGGGGAGAAATTCGGCCTTCAGTGTGTCTGCCAACCTGGAAAACCTGGAAAAATCGGGGAAAAGTTGGGGAATTTCTGAAAAAGCTAGCCATACCATAGATATTGGTGGCAGTCTGTGCGCCCATCACAAAAATGAGCATTACCATTGATCAAAGCTTATAACGTCGCTCCTTCAGCATACGGTGAACAGCTAGAAGAGGTGGGGAAAAAGGCAATGCATAACTGTTGCTTCACAGTGCAAAAGCGAAAGGACACACCTACCAAAAAAAAAAAAAAACACAAAGTTTACTGGCATTTCGGCACCTCATGCGGGAGCCTTGTTCGCAATAAAAGCCATAAGGAAGGCACAGCGTACTTAATGTAACGTTAAAGAGCAAAACTGTTTTTCCCTTATCAGTGAAGTACAATTTCACAATCCCTAAAACACCTTTGTTACACCGACACGACGGTTGGTAAATGAGAAAGCGTGCAAAAAAAAAAAAAAAAAACTGCGGGTGAAGACGCCATTTTCAGATTACTGCACCAAACGCCATGACGTCATAAATTTTGAAGGCGGCTATTGGGTCCTACATAACTTCTACTCGATAAAAATGCTACATTGTCATTTGTAAATGCCATAGATCTAGCATACGAAGTTCCAGACAATTGCCTCGAGCCAATCTCGCAAAAATACATAATAAAACAATTTTGAAGCATCTCGGCACGTGCGGAGATTTCAGCCCGAAACTAAAATGAAACCTCAGCCTTTATTTTCTTCTTATGATAAGAAAAAACAAGACATTAGAGTTCTCACTTTGTCAATCTAAACCAAGTCATTGGTTCTCTTTGGTGTCCCTTTAAGTACGCCTAAGTATGTGACATGCGCCCCTAGAATACATCGTCGGAAGCGTCCCATCACTCCTGTTCAGCACATGGGCAGTTGTCTACATGTGCAGGGATTCCACGTGCAGGCATGATTCTATAGCGTCATTTGTTTTCTTTCTTTTTTCTTTTTTTTCAGAACACGTGCGCTTGACCAGTCAATTTGATGGCTTAACGGCCGGTTCCACGTGTTCAGCAAGGGCATTCGAGTCCACGCGTCGTTTCGTGACATCATGTTCATGTTGTTTTAACTGTTCTTGAAATCGCCAGTTTTACCGTTGCACTGGTTGTCACAATGGTGGAAGCATATGGCGTGAACGAGACCGGAGAATTTTCCGCTCAGCAATTTCTTTCACATTGGCTATAGCATTTCCTAGCTTCCATATTGTTGCACGAACTATTTTGATATGTGTTGCATCACACAGCATATCTTACTTTCGAACCACAACATTACTTATGTAGATAGACTTGGGCATGTTTGTCTTGGCCATGATTTCGGCTTGCCTTGAAAGCCTTCTGTTTAGGCTAGAACTCCCATAGCTCAGGTTTGCCGGGTTGTGTCATGCCTTATTGTTATTATATTGCTCTTACTATATTTCTGACGATGCAACGGCAAATGTCCTCAGCTGCGCACTTATTGTTGGTACCTCGCGTTTCATATGCAGCATTGGGTAACTTCTGCTAAATTTCTCATTTCAGTTTCTTGAGGTGGTGTTCTTATATCTGCGATTACTTTTTAGCGTCATATTTTTTAAAAGAGTGCGTAAACGAAGTTTACACGCTGGTATTTGTGATTCATCTATGCAATCGAGGTAGCCATCCCGACCTGACAGATTCCTTTTTGCTATCATATTTTTCAAATGTCAGCTCTTTAAACGTTACCCCCAGCTTTCATTGCAGGCATTTGAGAACATCTATCGTGCTCCAAGCCTTGGAGTCCAAATAAAACACAAACACGCATGCACTTGTTGAGGGGAAACAAAAATGGCAGATCCCACGTACAGTGGTAATCGACGATATGCGAAGCACGCATGAGAAATGTTTATATGTCACTTTAAAGTCAGCAGAACGTTATGAAGTGAAGGTAAATGATGCCGTACATGACTTCCGTGGCATGCTTATCAGGTTTGGATGTGTCGTTTACCTTCGTCATTTATTCACGTTACGTGATACCTAATTTAGTATATGTGTAGCTAGCGAAACGGCCGTGAGCACGTTATGAGCGTGGTATGCTGTCATGTTCTCAGATGTCACGCCTGTCAGGATTAACTTTGCATCAGTCATATATTTCGTCATCCATTGATGTCACGTAACACCGAATTAGGTATATGTGAAGCTCGTAAAACAGCCGCGAGTGCATCATGAAGGACCCAATATACTCCAATGTAGCGTTCACGCGCGCGCACGCTGGGCACAGCGGTGCTACGTTAGCAAAATGCGAGCACACTAAAGTCTGACGCCAGGCGAGACCGGCGCGACCAGCGTCTATCGGCGTGGTCCGATGGCAACCAGCGCAAAATTAGGCATGCTTCATTTCGCGCCGATGCATTACCCAGACAACACTGCATCTCCCCCTTTTCTTGACGGAGGGATGCCGGACGCGCTAAAAGGCGCATGCATCCAAGCATCGCAGTATGGCGCGCGCCTGCGAGCACATGGCAGGACAAGCGACTGGCATGACAATGCCGGCGTGACGCAACGAACTGAACGCCAGTGAGCATGCGCACCGCGTCACGTTAAAATGTATTGACGCCTTGACTTCGACATGCAGTCATATTCTCACACGACAAGCATCTCATGATTATCATGTTTGCACCAGTCACATACCTTCGTCATTCATTGACATCACGTAACACCAAATTTGGCATATGTGAAGCTAGCGAAACGGCCGCGAGCGCATCATGAGTGTGGATGTAGTCATGTTCTTACATGACACGCATGTCGTCATTATCATGTTTGGATGTGTCATTTACCTATGTCGTCCGTTTGCGTCGCGTAATTCCGAGTTTGGTACATACCTAGCGAAACGGCCGCGAGTGCATCATGAGCGTGGAATGTAGCCACGTTGTTACGTGACACGCATATCATGATTATCATGTTTGCACCACTCACATACCTTCGTCATCCATGAACGTACCGTAATACCAAATTTGGTATATGTGACGCTAGCGAAACAGCCGCGAGTGCATCATGAGCGTGGCATGTAGTCATGTTGTTACATGACACGCATATCATCACTTTCATGTTAGGGTCTGTCGCTTGTGTTCGCCATGCAATCATGTCATACTATAACAGTTTTGCGACATGCCATGTGAACGAAACCACCGCAAGAGCTGCAGAGCCATGAAATGTAAATAATGATATTCATGACATACATGTCATGATTTTCATGTTATGACTAGTAAAATACGTTCTTCATACAGTCATGCTATGCCATACCAAGTTTGGTATCAATGGCCAGGAAAACAAAAAATCGTAGTGGCTGGATGGATGGATGGATGGATGGATGGATGGATGGATGGATGGATGGATGGATGGATGGATGGATGGATGGATGGATGGATGGATGGATGGATGGATGGATGGCGCGAATAAGCATCTCAGTTGTTCCTTTGCTCTGTCTGAAAAGCGTGCTATCTCTTTTCCCAAATGAAGACACTGCAACGATTGCAGGGACCTTTGTGCGTCCAGTAACTACAACAGAATCGTTTCAGTGAAAACTCAAGGTAGCCAAGACGTACGATCCTCGCCACCGCGAGCGCGTGAACGAGCGTCTACCCCTTCCTCTCCGCGGGGCAAAGTACGCATGTGAGATGA